GGATACTTCCCTGTTCGTGTTTTCTTATTTTCGCAGAGGCGAGGCGACGCAGGCGGCGTACGTGGGCAATCACTCTACACAATGATACCAGTCGCCCAGCTGATTTGTTGTTGTGGCTCAGCTGATAGCTTCTAGCTAATTAGTTTAGTGAGTTACCTTGACATTAGGCCGCACTATACAGAACGCGTCCTATAAACAGCAAACTATGAATTATTAGATTAGCAATAACAGCCCTCTGCACACGCGGTATCACTGCCCTTCCGGCTTCCTGCCCTCGTCCTTGCGCTCGTTCTCCAACCTCCCCACCAGAAAAATACAATTTCAGCCGCCGACCGTTTCCTGCGCTGCCGATCTCCTTCAAAGTTCGAGGTACATATGCCCGTAATTAGATACCTGCCCCTGCTATAAACGAGATAGAACTAATTACTTCCTTGCCTTGGAGTCATGCCCACCGAATCTAACCACGCGCGCGTAGCTCGTTTTGCTAATCGACAACGCCCCGCACTTAGTGCCGAGCCTTCTTCAAGTTTTTGACCCAGCTTCCATTGCAGTTGACTGGAGAGACGTGAGCTTGGCGCTCGAGTTTCTTCTGTCACTTCTCGCTCATAGTGATGACTCGGTAATCCGACCACGCGAGAAAATAATTTTTGACACCTTTGTGTGGTTTATTATGTTACATAATTCTAGCAGCGTCGTATCAATCCATGTTTGTGCTGCCGTCACGCTGAGCTGATTTATCAGATCATGCAGTATCTGACTTGCGCATGCATACCTGTGCGATGATTAGCAGCAGCGCGGATCATCCATCAAACAGGCAGTAGACTGCATGAGACTGCGCTAGTCCTCGAAACCCCATAGCGAAAGAGTGCTGCATTATAGAATCAATATATGATTACCCGTGCTAACGTCTGAGTATCAAGCTATTACTGCTCAAGAGAGACCTGCATAGATATCAATGCGGAGCTCGGAACTTGCGATGGAGAACGGTTGTCGGGAAGACTTGTTTCCGTTTCGCGGGCGGATGAGGTATCCTATGTCCACAGCTTACTATTTCTGTCTTTACTTGTCTTTTGTCACACGCTTGCCATGCCTGCTATCGGCCTTGTACACCGCATCCCATCTGCAGTGTAAATTAATATCGTCGGATGATAGAAATAGAACCGCAATTGACACAAGAGACTTTTAAAATTTTCCACTACTCAGATATTTACTACTTTTATCACTTAACACGTAGATAAGCTTGCTCCGAAGAAATGTTACCATTTACAGCTAACTACGCGTTAACTAAACTACGCGCGCACTAGTAAAATTTTTTAATTACGCTGGTTTTTTCGTTCAGTTGAGTTTTGCCGAGCGAGGAAGAGCCTTCCTTCGCTAGTAGGTTGGCTTACCGAGGGCCAGAAACGTTAGGGGAGCCCCGTTTAGCAGACTGTTGATTTATCTTTGGTCTCAGCCGCCTCATACACTAGTGATTATTTAGTGAACTATGATCACGATGGACACTTGCGTTTGTATAAATATAAATGGAGGACCGCAGCCCCCCTCCTCTATCGGATATCCAATATAAAGATACGCAGCCGACCAATCAGAACGCCGTAATAAGAGTGACCTCACGACGGCGGCGGGCGTTGTGTGGCAGCTCGACGGATCCATGCCGCGCGCCAGTCGGCGGGCTCTAGAACGCTTCGGCATGCCTTGCCCTCCTGATCGGGTTGCGGTTTAGAGCAGTTAGCGGGCAAGCCATGTGTTTACCTCATGCCTCGCTTTTGCTAAGAGAAGCCTTAGCCTGCCTGAGCAAGGACGCTAGTTAGTCTCCCGACTGCGCGGTAAACCGTTTGGCGGGTTCCACTGCGAGAGCAAGACAGAGCTTAAATTAGATCGAATCGGGAGATAAGCTAAGAGTTTAGCATTTTTGGTTTTTCGAGTTTCCGGCGTGTATGCGAGGTTGGTTGGCGAGCTTCTGTTTCATTCTCAGTCAGCCTCTCTTAATTCATTGCTAGGCCCTCCCCGTTCTGTCATCGTTCGGCCCGAAACCTTTGCCGGCTTACCCGTCAGTTTTCTTTCTGAGATATTCAAGCAGAGACTCAGCCAGCCTACCAATAGAACGACACCGCTCTCGGCACGTAATCAAGAGTGAGCATTCCGAGGAGCTACTATAGAGCGCGTAGAGAGGGAAGCAGAGAGTGGCTCAGCAAAAACTTTGTTTTCTTAGTGTGCCCAATAGAATGACCTCTCTCTTGGTTTTCTCTTGTTTCGGTTTCTCGGCAAACTTTTCTTTCAAGCGCGTTGCGAGTATATTAACTTCTAGCCGAGCGACCAAAAACCCGATCATGCATCTGACTAGCGCTGCCCGTTTTTGAACTGAGTTTGTTTAGGACTATCAGTCAGCTGTGGGCGAGGGGACCCACTTCTGGCTGTCGTCTTTCTGTTTCGCTTTCTGTCTTACCAGTTCATTCTACTCTATGTCATCTCTGGGCATCTATATTGATGTTCTTCGTCTTTATTTATCCGCTGTTCCTCGGTCAAATGGTGGGGAGGGGGGACAGAGTTTGAGAACTCCCTCTGCATCCATCTCTACCCGCACTTGCACGTAGAGAGCGCAGATGAGCGACGGCTGCAACACCGCGCGCTCGGTATCCTACCCGAAACCAACAGCGCAGGAATATTAGCTGTCCGACCGAGCAGCCTGTCTGGAACTGGGCATTTATTTCCTTGTTTAAGTAGCCTGCTGCATTAACCGGCTCGACCAAAGGAAAGGATGCCAAAAAAGAAAAAGAATGAGGGTTTTGCGCTTGGAGAGTAGTGGCCCTGCCTGCTTCTGAACTTGTGCGCAGTGCGCTGATTCGGCTCGGAGTTCGGCTCGCGACGAGAGCGAGGAAAGCGAGGAATGGGAAGAAACTTCGTACTAAGCACAGAGAATTTTCTATTACACCCTGCCCGCACCTGTTTCATAAAAAGAAACGATAGACTAGGAAAAAGAAAAAAAGATGACGAGTTCAGTGCGAGATTGTAAGCAGGTAGGCGGCCGTCAAATCCTGCAGACCTCGGCGAAGAGCGCGCGCGCGCGGGTGGGCGAGCGGGCAGTGGTAACGAGCTTGCAGGACTCTCGACGTACAGCTACCGCCCCTGCTACTACTTCTTTTGAGACATCCAACGTTGTGGGAACACGATACACCCGTCCGTGTCTTGCCCTGACGTGGACGCAGGATACTTTTTGGGACTCTGAATGTCTCGAATAAGTGATCGGCGAGCAAGAGAGGAATTGCCACAGCGCACTGGGATTCTACAGCCTAGGAAGGGTACGAACGTTGAGCTTCGACCTTTGTATTACGTTGTATCTCCACTCTGGAAATTACCTTTCTCTCGACTGTCGAGCCTTAGTCTATCAGCAGGTATGAAAAGCGAAGGAGAGGGGACGGAGGGAGGGAGGCTAGGGGACGGGATGCAGATCTACCGTCTTAGTGCGCCATTTTCGATGCGGTTCTTAAATAGTACTCGCAATCTCACGAAAATCTGAGAACCGATCATGCGCATTTTATGAAAACCGGCCATTAGTTCCTCTTCTTATCCTGCTCTATTTTTTTAATTGGCTCCCGCCGACTCCGTCAGACATCTACAACGCGGAATCCGGCGAATTCCGACCGCTCACCAGCATGACGACGACAATATCAACCCCCGACGACGTCGAAGACTAGGGCGGCGGGCGGCGTCGCCGTCGTCGTCGGAGCTGGATTTTTAGCTTCGGGAGGAAACAAGCGCCAGCAGAACCGGTTCGGCTGATCTCAGTGCACATTCGTGTTGCTTTTTATCACACTCGCTTACGACCGCTCTCTTCTCGCTAGACCGAGGCGTGCCCCCTAGCCTTTGTGTACACACATTCCGGCCGAGCCTCTCTGCCTTCCTTAACTCTTCTTTCTTTCTCTCGCCCTAAAACTCTTCCCACTCACCCAGAAAACCTTAAATCTGACTTTTTCCTGCTGTTTGCGCCCCAAATCCAAAATCGTACTTCGTTCCAAGAGAGAAACAGAAACCTTCTTTTGTTCCATCGCCCACCGCTGTCTGACCCACCGTGGCGGCGCTTCTTGACCCGACACCTACTTTCTGGTCGCGGTCGCGGTCACCCTCGCCCCTGCTGCTGCTGCCCGCCGCGTGCGCACGCGGCTAACCCTAATCCGGCAATCTTCCGGAAGAGTTGCAAACGTCACTCTCCAAACCCTATCTGGACACGATTTGTTAGTTGCGCGCGACGCCTCACACAGCTGTGTGTGCGTGTGCGTGCGGCCCGGAATTCCTTGAATCTTCGTCTCCGTACGCGGCTTTCCCCGCCGGTCGGCGGTCGCTGGACTTTGTGGATATGTGACGAAAACCAACGGAAGGACAAGCCTCGGCTGTTGTCTCTGCTCATGGCGCTTAGTTAGACGGGCGATTTGAGAGTTCGTGTTCTCTTGGGTGCGACTAGGAGTAAAGTACGGCTAGTTCTTTCGCGCGTACCTAGTACTGCCGATGATGTTGCTTCTGCCCGCGACGCTGTATCTCGTCGCAATTTCCCATCTTTCGTCATCACTGCTATATTCCGGTAACGTCCTACATTTCAGCGATCTACAAAGTAAAAAATAAACACCCTCTTTGTTGGCAATCGCCCGGCAAAACATGTAACTTTGCGAAGACCGTCACCGAGATATCACTTTTCGTCGTCGTTCTGGAAGGCGAAGGCAGCAGCGCGAAGTTTGCACTTGGCCGTCAACCAGTCTCTGGCGCATGCATGCATGCCCTTCCGCAGCAGCATGTTTCAGCTTCCTCACCTCTCTCCGAAACTTCCGTGATCTTGCATCTTCTCTCGATAGCTGGCTGTTCTTGCAGCTCTTGCTGGCTCGAAGACGGCTACGGGTATCGCCGATTCGCCTAACGTGGAAATAAAAGAGATATCGGATAGTATCAATATCTGGTTGTCACCTGGAACTCAGCCGCTGACAACAGCACTCATATATTCTAGACGGGCGAAATTACAACCGTAGTCGAAATAAAGTGACGTAGAAGTCTGCTACGCGGTCTAGAATATCTTCTACTCCGCCACAATTCTTCTCTAGCAATGCGTCGGAGAGCGAGAGACTAGTGAATTAGAGCTGGATAGAGTGACAAGCGGCATATGACGAATGTGCTTTATAGCCTTTTGCTGAAAGAGGTCATTTTCGGAGCCGGCTGGCGAGCCGAAATGAAGGGGTAAACAACAGTCTGTGATAGGGCGGTGGGTGAGAAAGACGGCAGTGCAAAACGCGGCACATGTCGTCGAGGACGGGTTGAGATCCAAGGCTTTGATATCGTGTGGCTTATACGTAGGAGTATCGGCTCTCGGTGCAGGGCGGTATGCATCGGAGGAGGGGGACAGGTACTGGGCGGAGGTTACTGGACGCATCTGTCCACGGTAGAGGAGATTCAGAGGAGAGCGTAAGCACGACGACGCCAGGCACGTCGGCCAGCGGCACAACGAAGACGAAACCTGAAGTCGAAACCGCGCTAGATAGCTTCTCAAGACATGGCGATTGAACATCAGGTATCTACAATACAGAAGTGCTTGCTATCCCGAGGCATTCGTAAAGCGACTACTGAGGCGGGGCGAAGCGGGGCGAGAAAGGGTACCTGAGTGCGGAGCGAATCGTCAGGGAAGGCAATCTAGCTGCCATCACCTCCGCATCTGAATCTTAATAGACCGGTCTAGTGAAATGAAGGAGATGATTACGAAGATTTGGGTAGTCGCGATTGGCAGATTGGAATGTAGAGCATACACAAGGTACTGGTAAGAGGTGATGGTGACCTTGGGAGTGGCATCTCGCATATCGCGCACGGCGCTCGCCGACTAGAATTACTCGAGCACGCGAAAGATTAAAGGCAAGGGTCCAGAATAAGTGCCCCTGGGGTGGCGCAAACGTCATAGGCGCGGATAGGGACCAGCAAGAAAGTACGACGGACTACAAAACTAACAGATCTACAACTTTCAGAAACATGATTTGTATCTCAGCGCGTGATAAAAAAAGAGCTGTTACAAAGGATAAGGCGGGTTGGCGGGGCTGCGAGTTAGACAGAGAATGCGGGCCTTCTCCTTCCCTGTCAAAAGAAGCAGTCATAGAAGGAGCTGGCGCCGCACGCTAACACTAGGCTCGCGGTTCTGCACAGCTGCCGTGCACTCGAGCGGGCAAGCGCGTCTAACCCGCTCCATCCCATCGCGACTACGTATACGCACGCTCCTGCATTCGATGGATCTCTGCTCCGGTGTGGGTCCTCGGGTTTAGATGTTACGAATAGGGCAAAAATCAGGGTTCATGTCCGAGATGCGAAATGAAAGCAGGCGGAAATTGCGTTCGGAGTATGGGTGGCGCGGACGAATGAGTTCCTGGCGGCAAGGACTGTTACTGCTCAGGAGGAAGCGGAAAAGACATGGTTAGGGTAGGTTAGGTAGTTGGTTGGAGGCGACGGCGGCCGAGAAATAATCGAGATTTGGGTGTCTCGATTCACTTCAATCTCGAGCGGCTACAATCTCAGACGCGCGTATAAAGTAGAGCGAGAGGGAAGGAGGGAAAAAAGTTTAATCCCGCTGTGTGCAGATTGACGGAACCTTCTGGTCTGCAAAAAGAAGGAAGGCGGCAGGATCCGGTCAGCACAGAAGGGGGCTGGAACGGGAGGACAAAGGGAACACGAAATGCAGACGAGTGTCTTAGATGGCAACGGCACTGGTAAATGTCTGGTAAAGCGCTAGAATGATTTTATATTATTAAGCTTTGGTTAATTTCACCGACAGATCGTCCCTTTCCTAACGATGACAGCCAGGACAGACCGGTTGCTCCCCAAGAGCCGGTCCAGCCAGCCAGTAGCTCCGTTTAGTGAGTTTCAGTGACGAGTGCCCCAGTGACGCAGCACCGCTCAGGCCCGTCTGCAGCGGTCAGCCGCCCGTTTGCTTCATGTTGCCCCCTTCCCTCTTGCGCGCCCGTCTCAGCCGCCACAGCCCTTACCCTTTGGAAGGTTTGTTTCGATAGCCAGCATGTCCTTTCTGTGTTCGTCCTCTTCTAGAAAACAATCAAATAAATTAACAGAGAAGAACCTTTCTCCACCTGCCAATATATTCAATACGAACTATTTCCTCATTGGCATCCCTACGCCGTCACATAGTCGTATAGTTATGTTATTACCCCCTTCCACTCTGTAGAATAGTCCATTCACTTTATGCCGTGCTAATCAGCTCCGTACATACGTGCGGCCTTTTCTGCAGCACGAACTATCACATCAAAACTCTCAGGCGCCCGAAAGGGCCCACCACATCTTCGATTTAGCGACCCACCAACGAGGCTCTACCATTGTTAGTCGTCCTGAACACGACCCTTATCTTCCATCTTCTATTCCAGTATCATTCGTCTGCTTTCGTTTACAGTCTGGTATCCGGTACCTCTTCTCACATCGGCAAGATTAAGCACGCACGCGCAGCTTGCGCGGCTGCCCTGCTCGTAAACCCAAAAGAATATCTCGTCTTTCGCCAGGCTCCATGTCTCAAACTCGCTTCCCTTTAGGTCTCTTCTTGGCTTGCTCGTTTCAGAAATGTGAAGGCTGACGTATGCGTATTCTGTGTATCCAGCTCTCTGTCCTGCGCGGGCTTGGCTGCGGTCGTGCTGCTGACCTTGTTGGTTTCGCCGTGTACGGAACCTCATCACCTCTGTACAGGCCGCGCCCGCGCGCACTCTCTCTCTTGCTGTTATTCCTCTCATACCCGCTGGTGAACATGTAACTTTCGGAAAAGGCAACAGGAAGCGCTTCCAAACGAATGCTCGGGAAGGTGCCCCAAGCGCCATCTCGTATTGTAGCGAATCGGCCCAATGTCGTAATCCCTGTTGCCGGTCCTGCGCGCGCGTCCTTCTCGTCTATAAACACAAAGAAGATTGAGCACGATCTCCACGGCTTGCCCTCTGAATACTGAATATCGGCTCCATTTGATGCATAGTCTTGGTTGTCCTAGCCCTAGCTTCAAGCTCTAGCGAAAGGACGAAAGATTCGGCGTTGGCGCACCGGCTCATTCCCACATACCCCGCATTCACGCGCACTGTTGCCCTGCCGTTAGCTTAGAGACAATAGAGAGTGCGTGGAGCATACAGATGCAAAGACATGAATGTGAACCCGTATACTTGCTTCTTCACCTCAAATCTCTGAATGAGAAAGACGACCCGTACCCGAGAGGCGTTTCTGGTCGCTTTCTTTGTTTAATAGTCATTGCTTTATCGTCCAAACAGTCTCCAGCTATGTATTTGAACAAAGAACCATGCGTGTAGTGTATGTGCTCTGCACTGCACTCGTGATGAGTAATTGATTATTATTGTTTATTGTTATTGATTATGTTATTGATTATTAAGGGTTTTTCAGTATGTGTTGAGAAGCGTTACATTTACCTTTCATACTTCTTCTTTGTTATCTTTAGTTTGTCTTTAGCCACTTCTTGTCTTGTGACCTCACATTTGTCCAGCGCCACCTTATAATAGGGACGCTCCTTCTGTTTGTTTATTCTCTAGTCTTTACGCTCAACACATACTTTTCCCTAGTTGATATTTGGTCTTATTACTTAAGATTGGAATCCGCAAATATTACAATGCGTATGCTCTTCAGACAAAAAATCAGGGAATAGAGATCAAATTTTCAAGCGAAAATTCGGCAATTAGCGGAACCAGGTAGGGAGCACGACAGGCGGGGAACCCTGTCTATCAATAAATATTCCCACTAAGTCGTTCTCCCAGACGGACGTAGCCACCTAATCGACCTCCCACCTCGCTAATACTCAGCGAGGGACCCGCCGCTCCATGGCGCATCTGCGCTACATTGCTAGTTACTACACTAACTAGAGTAAGAAACCACGCCTTACTACACTATTTGTACTCACTGGACGGATTTCGTTGGTTTTGTTATCTGGCGCGAGGGTGGATACCGCTCCTTCCCTCGAAGAACGGCGGAGTACCTCGCAAATTGGATATTCCAAGACTTTGCTCTCTGAAGATGCTCCGTTTTTATGGTTATCTTAGAGAAGGGGTAGCAGGTCCTTCTGGGAGTCCAAACGGTTGCTCTCACTCGCCGAGAAATAAGAACTAAGGTTTTGCGCTTCGCAGTTCGCACTCTTTCGAGTGTCCAAGAGCTCTCAGACAGATGCAAATCTCCGTCTTAGAAATGGATGCCCAGACCGTTCGTACAAGCCATCAATGCCAGCGCTAAGCAATCAAAAAGGTATGTCGAGCAAAGCGACCTCGTTTGCCAGTAGTAAGGATGGTAAACGACGGCTTTCTTGATTGTGGGAGGATGCAAGGATCAAGGAAAAAAAGTGTGGCTGGGCTGCGGAAGTGTGGCTCACCTCTACCAAGATGACAAAAGTTAAAATAGATAGGAAGGGAGGGTGTGTACGGTAACTTTAATGTCCTTCCCTTCTTGTTTTGTGTTGTTTTGACGGATTTATGTGACGTGATATTCGGGTTGATTATAGTGACGGTCAAGCGCTGAAAGAGAGACAAGACAGGATCAGATCTTACGAGACTTCTGCCGAGAAGTGTTCGAGAACTTGAGATTCACGGATTGGATAAGTGAGATCCCCGGAGGTTGGCGGGTGGTCGTGTGGTTGCGCACGGTCGCCCGTAGTCACCAGTCCGACTCGAGACTACGCAGCCTAGCTCACTCATACATGCTCTCCTGGCAGCTTTTTAATTTGATCTTTAGCGGCGGGGGCTTTTTTTCTTCCTCCTCGGATTTGTTGCTGATGTTTTTAATTTGTGCAGGGTATGGTTAGAAGTATGAATTGAAAAGTCTGAAAGAAGAAAGACCGCACTGTGCTGCAACCTTCTCGAGAATGTTTATCACTTCCGCAATTTGACCGCCCGACGAACAGAAAAATGGAAGGATTTACAGTCTCCGAATGTCCGACCGCCCTTCGTTCGGACATTGGAAGGAAGGAAGGGGGGGAAGCAAAGCAGGGGGCCGAGTCTGGAAAGAGAAGGAAGGAAGCAGACAGAAAAAGAGAACAGACCAATTGCGGGAAATTTGTGTTTGTGTCTCTCACGAAATGAAGGCACCCTTCGGATTTGAAAGCGAGGTTTGTTGGATGTTTGAGTTTATGGGCGCGCAGGCAGACAAGACAGGTGGGCAGTGTTGCTTCCTGACCGACTCTATAGTTTCAAGTTGTCTTGCTGCTGGAACTGGAACTCTCGCTTTCTATTTTTCGTTTGTCTTGTTTTGTTTACGACCGCTAGATAATAGTCAAGGTTCGCAATAGACGAACGCAAACAATCGGCAACCGAGTTAACCGAGAGAGAAAAAAATTTGGACTAATCACCATCCTCTCTCTCCCTTCGGCTTTCGCACCACTGGCTTCCGTCCGAGAAGACTCAACCTTCTCGCATGTCGCCGTCTGCTTTCTTTCATTCAACTGTTCAGTCATCAGGAGACTGCTGCCGCCGCCGCCGCGCCGGCCCGCCCGCCCGCCACCAACCTTTTTCGCATAGTGTCTGCCGCCAGATTACCTCGGCCCTGGGACGCCGCCCTTCTACGCCGCCGGTCTTCTGCGCTGTACGAACTTGATTAGAGAAAAAGAGAGCCAGCCAGGTCCAAGGAGCAATCACCAATCGCTAAAGCGAAACTTCCCGGCCTGGCTTGGCGGCGGCTCCATCGGAGAATCTGAAGCTGACCGTGCTCGTTTATTTTTTGACTGCTACTTTTCCGGACAGCAATTTGAAAGATTCCTGGCTGTAAAAAAGAAATGCGCCACGTAGGCAGTGAGTTAGTGGGTGAGCAAATATCTGAGCTTATCTTTTTTTTCTAGGCTGCGAGATCCTTTTGCTGCTGCTGTAGACTGTATACTTTATAGCGTAAGGTGCGTGCGGATCTGCGTTTCCTGAATCCCTCTATCAGTAATC